TTAACATGAATGATATAAATAAGAAAAATGGTGATACCTTTAATTATATAGATAAAGAATCCTAGCATTTTGAAAAATTGTTAAGAAAATTTTGTTTAAATCAACAAGGTGAAGGACCTACACTTTAAGGATGACCTAGGTTCAATCCATAAATATGCATATATAAATATAAACCTCTAATTAAATGTGTTTAGCATAATAGCTTATCTATCTATTTTAAAAACCTATCTGAATCACTTAAGACCTTAATATGACTTTATTCTCCCTATTATTGAACCTTATATCACATGACTTTCATTTGAGAGCCATATGCCCATTGTGATCTTAGAATATTTGTGTGGGTTTATGTGTAACTTATATAATAAGTTCATTGATGAATGTCTTAATAAATTTGAGATATGCATAAATGTTATTGAAGATCATTATTTTTACCTTGATGAAAAATTCTCTTCTTTTGAGCATAATAATCCTTCTCTTTTTGAAAAAGTTTATGAGTGTACTTAAGACTTTAAGAGAATACTTTATTAGACTTCTTTCTTGGAGTTGCAAAACTCATCATTGGCCTCTGAGATAAACTTACAAATTATAAATGCAAATCCCTATTATGTTGTATTTAACATATATTTTAGGGACTCCAATGACTAGCCACCTTCCCGATATGGAAAAAAGAAATTTAGATTTGATCAAACTTCTAGACATCCATTTGCATAATTTAACAAATCGAATTAAACACTCAACATTGTGTTATGTTATTAATGATTTATTCTTAATGCATCTTAACTTTATTTATTTAATTCATCGTTCACATTTTTATTAGCACAACATACATAATCATTATTCCCTTGTTCTACTATTAGTTGGTATGAATAGCGGTAATAGTACTAAAATATTTTTTTGAAAAAACACATAGGAAATATAATAATAAATATTTTAACTAACACTTAGATCCTTAGTTCTGATTTCACTAAATTTTGCATTTTGAATATAGTCTCTAGATTTACTATTTATTTTATTGCCTCAGAACATATTCTTTACTACTTTTTTAATTGTACATGATATCTTATCATTTATAGGATTCACTAAGAATTGAGATAGATATATTGTCCTAAAGAGAAAAAAAAATAAATTTATTTCTAGCTGCATTTTCATCATCAATTATCACAAAACAACATATATTGCATATTTAGATAAACTTAAGCTTATAGATGCACCATCCATTTAGACACACAAACCCTTACCCCACTTACTTCATAATCATAGTTTTAACTCTACCTAATCGATAACAAGCCAGAAGTTTCATCACAAATCAACAACTAAAGCCTAATTTTATGATAATTAATCATAAATTAGTTTTTACATTTTCTTAGAATTTGAGTTGGTCTTATGAGTTTGGAGGAAATATTTTGCATGTAAAATATATTTTATATCTATAACATTAACCTAAACTAAAGACTCAAGAAAAAAAAATAAAAAATTAATCAAATCTCCTATAATTGATTAGTAGTCTTAGCTTCTAGATTGAGAGAGATCTTAGTGGCTAACCAATTAAAGTGTTGGGAGAATTTTCATAAGTAGAAAATTAGGTATATTTTCTTGTATCTTTCTCTCATCTTTACAATATTTGCAATACATTAAATGAACAAGAAATATTGTTTTGATTTCTATCAAAACATATGTGTTATAATGTGTTGAAGTTAATTTTCAAGTAACTTATGATTCAATCACATATTAAACTTTAGAAACCCTAACATATCTCTTCTTCCCTAAACTTCTCCTACATGCACAACACCTTCACAAAGCCTTCAACCATTTGAACCCTCATAAAAGTTAGGCCAGGTTCATTCCATGAACTCTAATATATATTCTCCACCTCATATAAGCAGTTCATATGATAATTTTTTATTTATATAACCAATTGGCTAAAAATCAAATTTATTACTTATTTGAATGTAATATTTTTCTTTTCAAAAAATAAAATCAAGCCATCCTCTAAAAAAAATGGTTAACAACAAATATTAAATTGATCAACAACATTTTCTCTTAGCCTTGCACCATCACCAACCCTTCCACCAACCATCATCCAATCTTGAAACTTAATTAATACCTTTGATTAGTGTGATTAATCAACTTAAGAAGAATGAATACCAATATTTTTTTATGTGCATTGAGTGAAACTTAAACCCTCATCATATTCATCAAGACTTTCTCATTTTTTCAAATTTAAAAACTTAACATGTATATACAACATAAATATAATATAAGTCGACTTAGAAAATATTTATTTAACTCAATTTACAAAAAGGAAAAAAATTAATTAATACATACATATGGAATCCACTGCGATTTCGATCGAATACATCTCTCTTTTAAGCACCAAATCATAAAGAAACATAGTGCATACTTTTTATACCAAAATATAAAAGAGGATCATGATAAACCTTGCACTAAAATGATATAATTCATCTTTTTTACTTAGTGCCAATAAATATATGTCCTCAAAATAAAACAGTATATAGCAATAGTTTCAATGCATTTGATCAAACTTTTTATCCACCTTAGATCAGAGGAACACTACTCTTATGGCATGAATGTCAATTGAATTTCACTCATCATAATTATAATTAGCAGATGTGTTATCTATTAAGGGTCCGCGCACTGCAGTTTTGTCTGTTTGGGTAAATTGAGTTTTAACAACTTTTTTGTAAAATCTGCCTCTTAAACCTACATTTTCCCACCACTCCAGCATATGTGCAATAACAGCTTTCTAGCTGCACGCATGACTTTTAAAAAAAAAATTATAATAACCACCACAACTTTTTGAGCATATCACATTATTATTCAACAGATTCACGATTATTTTTTAATAAGTTGTCGCTAACTCAAACAAACCCTGAATTAATTTTAGCTAGTTGATTTTAACTAAAAAAATAAAACTTGGCTCTATTTCAATTTAAGTAGGATAAATATGGTCAGTTTGAATTAATTTTTAAATTAATTAAATGAAACCTGCTAATAAAATGCATATTTTTAAACCAAAAAGGGGAATTTACATATATAACACAATACGTATGTATTTGCATATCTAACACCTAAAAATTTATATTTATATGCATAATGCTAAAATATTATAGGCTTGACACAAACATACTATAAGTGTAAATATCAAATATTGGGTATTAGATATGTAAATTCATAAGAACTGTGTGGTATGCATGCCAATTTCTCCAAACCGATAGGGAATATACAAACTGCATTATATATTAAAAAAAAATTAATACAACTTCATTAAATTATGAAAAATTAATTATAATCATTTATTTTATTTTTATGAGAAAAAGGCTTACTGTTATTGATGCAGTTTTACTAAGGAAATAAGAGCAAAAAATTATTGCATTTTTAGTCCTAGTTACAAAAGGAATGGCCGGAGGGAGGCTATTATACGAGCCCCAGTCATTCCTCATGCGTCTAAGAATTCCCCAGACTAGAGTGCACTATATATGTTATCAAAAGACGTGAAGTTCTTGAAGTCATAGGCTTGAAAACTCATATGTTTTTCACTGAACTAAAATAACATTTCTTAGATAATATGTGATATCTCAATTCATATAACCATGACAATGACTCTTAACCATATTTGCACCTCAATATAGATCTTACAAGCAATGATGAATTTCAATCTCTGATCAACATTTTCTAAAGACAATTATTTAAATCACTGATCAATTAAATGAGCTTACTTGAGAAACAGAAGACTGTAATATCACTGCATTAATGCTGCCAAAGCACTTCGAATGGGGTTATTCTGTCTCGCAGATGAATACCTTCTGTTTAAGGAATGGGGTCCATTCCAAACAGACTTTTCGTCTCCTGGAAAGAGGTCTCTGCATAACCACAAGGCTGAGTGGTTCTCTTGCTGAGGTTGATTCTCTAACAGTTTCATTTCCTGAACACTTGGAGACAATTCCTGCAATCATAAATGATATAAGGTATTGAGATTTATTGTCACTCGTATCAAATTTTTAGTTTAGCGTATAAGTACCTATACTACATGCATATGGATAAATCAACGTATGCATGCTTTTGCACACACATGACATGTATGTCAAAATATATAGGTGAATATATGCATTAATATAGCCATCCATTAACATTCTAACAGTTAAACTTTACTTTTTACATTTAAACCACCCAAATCTTTCATATCGCATCAAAGGTACTACTATTTTAACCTTTAAAAAGTGAAATATACATTTCTGATGATAGGTAAGGTGAGCATATATGTAAAAATTGAAGTTTGTGTTAAATATGTAAATACATAAGATAAAGTGGTATGCATGTAAATCTTCCTACTATAAATTATAACCTATACATAAATATTTGTATTTATGCACTCATACATTGGTACATGCATGAAAATGAAATTCAATCCAATCTTGAGAAATCTCGATCAGATTCACTCCCGACTCAATTCAACTTCAATTAGAATCAAACATGTCTCATTAATCTGCTCATTGATCTCACTCAAAGCTAAGAACCAATAATATGTTTGAGTGATCCTCAATTTTAAAAAGTTAAATTCACACACTAAATGAGAAGAGAGTCAAATTAGACCCTAGACTATTTGTAGAGGGCTATTTTAGCCCTAGAGTCTATAAAAATGTCCATTTAGTTCCCATACTCCTTTAACGGGAGCTGAAATGGTCCCCTGAAGCTCATACAGTCTAAGCACTAATTTAACACTTTTATAGAATCTTATGGGACTAAAATAACCCCATGTATAAGACCATTTTGACACTTTACTCTATTCCAATTTATGATTTAAAAAAAAATTAAAATTTACCCCCCGACGAATCTCGTCTTCATCTTCAACTTCATCTTTCTCGTAATTGTTCTTAGGTGAGTTAGAATGATGCCATTCCTGACCATGAAAATGTTGATTTGAATCATCCTTGGTGCCATTCTCGTGCGTCAAGTTGCCAAAAGTTTCATCATTGCTTTCTAGTTTCACCCATTTCAGCATCCGCATCAACTTCTAGAGAGTGATCAAAGGTCGAGGCAGTACCTTCACTGCAAGGGTTGTCAGCAAAACTGGCCTGAAAATGTTAAAAGAATTTAAGAAATTAGTTCAGCCTGTAAAAAACGAAGAGTCCATTAACAACTATGAATGTGAAAAGAATGATCAAGGCAGAATGGCATAAGTACAAAAGGTTATAACTTTAGATATAAGACGGTCCAACAGAATTTCAAATTCAATTGCCATTTATTTATGGCATCTTCTGGTTTATAGTTTTAAAATAAAATATAGAGAGAAATCCAAAGAAACTGTCATTAAACAAAACATGAGAAATAAATACAAACGCCATTATCAACATCAACTATGTATCACGAGTGATGCCAAACGAATTTAACTTAAATAAAAAAAGAAAAGAAATTCACATCCATTTCAGGTTTAGCTTTACCAGTTCTCCACAGATAGAGAGGATAAAGCGATTAAAGGATTAGTAAATTGAATGGAACAGTGATGCCAAGATTCAAAATATTAAGAGAATTTGATACATTATGCAAATGAATGAAATAGAATCTAAGAACGAGATGCAACGGCAGGATCATAATACGAGAACATCATAAAAATTTTAAATAGGATAATTTAAAAAATGACAGAAATAGTTGCTATATAGTTTAGATTCATGTATTACACAAAACAAATATTAAAATAATCAAATGAAAAAAATTATGTATGTATGATAAAATAAAGAAAAATAAATATAGAAAAAAATTATATATTAGTGGAAGTAGCATTATGCAATAAAAGGTTATTAACTAGTTTTTTTTATTTAAGCACGTAAAAAAGAGTCTTAAATACGTACTGATAAAGAGAACAGACACAAGGAACAAGGAATAGAAGAGTAATAGTGTTCGTTAAAGGTAACCTAAATAGAAATTACAAAAAAGATTTGTATAAAGAACAATCAAAATAACATAGAATAATTAACAATGATGAATGACAAAAAAAGAGACTAAAAAGGTCAACATCAAATAAAAGCGCTAATGAAAATTATTACTACATGCTACAAAAAACTTCCGCACCGTTTAAGCCACAAAATAGATCGCTCTCATTCAAGCTACCTCGTGCAAACATGGTCAGCAAAAAGGTTTAGATGCTCCATGGGAGTCGCCTTGAGAAAAGAACTCCTATACTCTTTCTAGGGGCATTTACGAACACAGCACATAATTCTTATGTATTAGCATGTCTCACACCTAAACTATCAAATTGACATACATAGCACTCAAATCTTTAATCACATAAAAAATAGAACTATTACCAAAGTGCTATGGATGTAAATAGGAAATTTTAGGTATGAGATATGTGAATACATAAGAATTATGTGCTACGCATGTAAACTTCCCTAATTGTTCTTATTATTATTATTAATTTGGCACTCCTATGCTTGAATCGGCAATATATTGAAGTCTCGGTAGACCAAAAATATAATTTTATGGCATAATATCTCAAAATAAAATTTGATAAAAGAATGGAATGAGTACAATGAAAATTTCAAGTATCCATAGGCATTGGCCACATGTTCGCGTGCACAGAGACAAACACATGAAAGCACATGTTTGCGTGCGTGCGCGCGCGCACACATGGATGCGCAAACAAACACACTTTGGGATTCCGATAGGCATTGGCCACATGTTCGCGTGCACAGAGACAGACACATCAAAGCACATGTTTGCGTGCGCGCGCGCGCACACACATGGATGCGCAAATAAACACACTTTGGGATTCCTAAAAACAGCAATGTTAAGCACAACAGCTCCCCGAGGAATAGAGATAAGGACATCCAAATTGATTTCGATAAATATATATTTGATTATTTGAATGAAAACCTAATTTAAACATCTCTTGTTGTCATATTTTGTATTATTTTGAGCAATCCAGATCTCCCAACATATAATGCGTGGAAGTTGAAACTTGAAGGTAATTAAGAATTTAGAGTGTGTAGTTTTAAACAAAAACATTCTATAAAGTGGTCTAATGAGGAGAACCTTGGTAGCGGTAATCAACAATAATTCAGCAAGCGCGAAGATGATGAATAGAAAACCAATGACCTCAAAGTTATAATAATGCTCATATTTGGATGTTGCATTAATTCCTTTAGATCGCACCACATCATCACTGGAGATAAAAAAATCATTGAGCATCCGGGCAAATAAATGAATCTTAGCAAGTAAAGTCTGGCTTCCATAGATAGAGAATACTACGTGAAGCCTTGAAGAGTCCAAAAGAAGGGACTTAGCAAACTAAAAGTAGAGGTTGACAATGGAAGGAAGTACCGAGACCAGCAATGGCCTTAGAAGCTTCAATGCACGGTAGAAGATAAACTCAGCAATGACTAGTAGGAATGTAGTCTTTACACCAACCTTGCCTTCAAACACATTTACAAAGAGACTAATCTTTGTGTCGACTTGCTTGAATGCATAGGCTGCTCCACAATAAAACTTTCAACATTTGCTTCTTTATTTGAGCATTTTCTTTCTTTTTTTTTTCATGCACACCTAGAAAGGGTCACTCATAGCTCTAGAATATTTTGGACTTATAAATCCTCTTTATAGAAAATTCTAAATATGAAGTTTGATTTAAAAAGTTAGCAAGGGACCGCCATCCAATTGCTTCAGAAGTTTAATAGAGATATAATAGTTCTGATATTCAAGTCATGGATGAAGGTCAGGATAGGCATGCATCTCAAGGGGATGAGATCAAACAACCTAAACATAAAAGCTGAACCTCAAAGAACAAGTTTGGATTTCATCCTGGGCTAAATAAAAATGTACTAATTCAGATCGACCAAGTTATTCTGGGTTAAGAGGAATAGATGCTGAGGAGGAGTTGTGATCTTTCCTACATTTCCATCTTTAAATGACAGACGAAAACAGGCAGGTTGACACTATCATCAGGAGCATCGAAAAGTGGTAGCAATCTTGCCAAACGTAATTGGATAAAATTAGTAATTTGGTGAGTTAGAATGCTTGAGAATAACCGAGGCCACCTTTACTATGTGAGATGAATGGATGCGAGTAGACACAACTATGCCCCAAAAGATTAAAAGGCAAATGATAAAAAGAGTGTAGCAGGCCATGAGGGCTCCAACACATGAGACTAAAGCAATGTTGGAGACAAAAATAAATCAAATGGAAAGGAGACAGACTTCCATGTGACCTTCTGAGGCCTTTTTGGTAAATGATATCCATGTCCTAGTCCCATGCTTGAAGTCATGCAACACTCAGCCAACTCTAGCCGATGGATATAAAGTATCCATAGATCAACGATTATATTTTATTTCTGGGATTTATTGCAACAACAAAAAATACATCACCCGACCTTAGTCATCAATCAAATAATGACGAAGCCACACTTATAAACCATCGAATCAAAGTCCTCCCATCATGAATCACGTATCTTTTATGGGCCGAATTTGATGATATTTGATTTTTGGATTGCATTTCAACAATCAAGTCAGCATTGCACATCCACTCTCTATCCTCTCTAATATGTTCACTCCCTACCTCTCTTTAGCCTCCTCTATTGATTGGCCTAAAAATTTCCCGATGGAAAGATATAAACAAAAAGTTGCTTTTCAAGGAGGTTAGCCACCCTCCCATTATTTCTTAGTTTTTTAAAACAATCTCTTCACTCCGTAACTAACCTCCTACTCGATGATTTATATTAAAGGTAAAGGAAATGGAGCCACAAAATTAAAGTATTTGACAAGGGAAATAAATTCTAGAAGGAGAAAAGAAGATGGGGAAAGAAATATTAATGGTTAATGCACCAGTCGCTACATTCCATGAGACACTTTCTACGCTGAATGTACTGTCTTCTACTAGTGCACCTATCTCATTCATATAAGTGTCATATTAAGCAGTGCTGAATGACCACTAGTTACTTTAAATACTCCCACAACCATAATGTCTAACACTTATTATTAATACTTAATGTATTTGTTTATATATAATTCACCACAACCATAATGTCTAACACTTGTTATTAATACTTAATGTATTTTTTTATATATAATTCAGGCAAAATATATGATAAATATATAATGTATGGTTTGTCGCGCCACCCACTTAGGAAGTTTATAGTCACCCATGCTCTATAGTGATTATATCACATTTAATAGATTTCTTAATTACAGTAAATTTAATCAAGCCTCCATATTCAAATCATCAGAATTCAACTACTCTGATATTATTCGCTATCACAACCAAGACGCCCTTACTGATAAAAAAAGATAACAGAGAAGCGTACAACATAGTTGAATTAAATTTTCAGCAACATCTATTCTATAACTATACCCACCAGAAAAGAATGAGAGATAAAATCAATAATATAAACGATCATACAATAATTTCTAATTCATAGGGATTTAATAATAAACACAAATCAATTGAACAAAAGCTTTCTAAAATATTCTATTTATCAAACTCTAAGGGTTTATCAATATTTATTTTCATAATATCAAACTTTCATCATAAATATAGTTTAATGTACTTTATATCAAAACCCGGCACTCAAGGATCAACTTTATTTTTCTCTAATATCTAATGAGCTTAAAGGCTCAACAAGATAAATAATTTTTAAAAAAAATTGAATCTTTAAAACATTAAATCAATATGATATGCTAATCATAAACTTGAAATTAAATCTTAATATAAAATATAGTCTATTTTGGTGGATTATATATAATCATTACAAACTAATCCTTCCTAGACAATAGGTGGTATGATAATTTATAAAGTAATATTACTAAGAAAATTTTTAAAAGAAATGCTCGAAGTCATACATAATATGCACTACGCTATTTTAAGGAAAGCTTACAAGCGTCTCGAATAAAAGTTAATCTTCTCATAATATGCATTTGTTCATTTTATTTATTTCTTAATATAAAATATCTTGCTTCAGCATCAGAATATGCCATGCATGTAGGTCAAAGTTTATTGGCTATGTAAGAAAGTGAGCTATGTCAAACCTCACACTAAATATCATAGGGTTGAAAACCTTGCTATAAGACTGCATATTGAGGACAAT